TATATATATTTGAGAAAACTATGCATTCTATTTTTATATTCCTTAAAATTATAGTTTCCTCAAATGATTGTGGTAGCCAAAGATCAATCTATGGTGCCCAAGGCCACCATTTTCCACCCACTGGCTCCACCACTGCACCTGGTAGTGGATAAAATTGCTCCCTCCACTCGGCAGAAACCATCACTCTGCACATCCTCGGACAAGGAATAAAAAGTAAACCACCCTCTGGTCTTCTCCACAGTGTAACTCATCCTCGCTTTAAAATCTTGCACTAAAACATTAAGGATTACTTGCATTCTTTGCTCAATTCCCATCCAGAACAACATGAAAAATGCATCTCAAAAACGAAAAACATTAACTATTCAAATCCTCAGCAAAAGAGGACATCCATGTACTGCTTATTTATATGTTGTTTATTTTTACTGAATTACAGGAAACCTCCACTAGGCCTTATAAATATGTGGTTGCGGGACATGGCAAGTATACCAAGGCTTCTGCTGATAACGGCTGCAGTGAAGATGTCAGCGGTCAGGCAGGTAAGAAATCTCCTTTATTAATAAATATAAAGAAGAAATAAAGAATGACTGTGTGAAAATACATTCATCCATAATTTGTTATTTGACTATAACATTTAACTTGTTTACTCTTTTGAAGCATTTTTATTAAACATATAATGTTAAATTTCTTCTACCTGGAAAGCAGCTTGGATTCTAAAATCATGTGTCAAATGTCATACAGACTTTAATATTGTTGAAGCTCTAGTTAACAAGTTTAAAATCATGGAGGTTTCATTTTTGATGTGGGGAAGTTTTGGTGTGGTGCCTGATCAAACTGGAATAGAATGCTCCAGCCTCCATTTTTGTATTATATTTGTGAAAATGCATGAACTCATAGTCCCTTAGACGTTTTATCTCAATGAAAATTTTTCACTGACACAACTTTTTGGGAACAAGTAAACACTTTGTCTTTACTTACACATACTAATGAATGTGAACACAAATAAAAAGAGAATAAAATGAGAATTACTTGTCATTGGCATTGCGCCATCAGCCGTAACAAAGAAAAAAGACAAATGCAGGACAGAAATAAACAAAACTTTATGCAAAATAATTAAAATAACATATTACGGTGAATGAAAATGTGTTAATTTGACACCAAAGTGGGCTGCGTTCATTTTATTCAGTTTTTAATTGTAAGCCTCCCCCACTAAAAAAGTCACTTTTTGTTTTTCTTAAGAAAACAAGCTTTATTAAAGTCGATTTTAGAAACAAAATGGCTCATACAAAAGAACTACGACACATCGCCAAAACCTGCCATGGCAGAATTATTCTCTGAACCACTGAAACATCAAAAATCTACACTCCTTTTCCACTCCTCACTCCATCCTCTTCAGTTGTTTCTCTTGTTCTTGTCACCATCATCATCTTCCTTAACTTGTGTTTACTTGTTACCTCACAATTACAATCTAAATGCAGCGAGGCTGGTTAAGTACTGACCAATGCTCCAGATATCAGATTAATGCTTCCAACAAACAAACAAAAGCTGCATGGACACTCACTCAATAATAATAATAATAATTATTATTATTATTATGTGTAGAGATGTCACACAGTTGGATCTGGTTCATTGTTCATCAACATAAAAAATGAAAGTATGGGGCTGTTTTAATATTGTTTGAGGTGTGTATCTCAAAAAAGTTATTTGAAATTCATTATTGGTGTTCATCTTGAAGCTAACTTAAACCGTAAGAACAGTTAAACAAAGCTACGAGAAATGTTCAAGTAGGATAACAAAATACTAACGCAAACCATAAAAAATTTGACTGGTTTTAAACTGAACTGTCTCCCTCAACAGCAACACGTTGTACAACCAGCAGCATTTTAAGCTAACTGCTAAGTTTGTAGCACGCTTTAACGTTAGCATGCTAATCATTTGATTAACAATGAACACAAAGAATAGCCAGGAGTGAGAATGTTACATGCTGCGGGTCAACATTTTGGTTGCTACTAAAGTTTTAATTCTGGACAAAGTAAATTAAAAAGTATTGCCTCTAACTTGAACTCCTAACACCTGAAATGGTTGAATATTGTACGGTAGCAGTAGATTGTCCAGTTTTATTGAACTTTGTAATAATTTCATTTTCCTAAATGCACGCTCAAGGTTGACGTCAGTTCACATAATTTTAGGGCATTTTAGTTGAGTTCTAATACGGCTAGCTAACATCTGCCGAGCATTTCAAATGTAGTTTTCAAAAAGATGGGCAGCAGTTTTCCAAAGTTTTCAGGCCTACAATCTTTTGGAGTTTGTGGTTTTAATTTATTTTATTGTTCGAACAGAGTGTCACCACTTTTCCATTCACACCTGACTTTCGGAAACCTTCTTGTTTTAATACCAGTCTTGTTACATCTTCATTCATCTTGCATATATTCTTTCAAATTATTTTTGTCCTGTTGTTCAAGGAATGTACAAGTCATATTCAATACAGAGAATAAAATCTGTCAGCAGTATTAACTAAAAGCTTTATACATATTTTAGAAAAATAAAAGTCTATGGCATGGCATCTATAATAGTCTACAACACGTGCATTAAGAATCGCATCTATCCTACTGAAAATAAATAAAAAACGACCTCATTTAACTACAGACTAAATAACTGAGCTAACTTTATTTAGTCTATGCTTTTTGCTAACTCACATCATAATTAGGGTTTAATAAAAGTGCAAAAATAGCACTGCAGTTAGAACTACATGATCACTTTGTCAGTTATCATTTAAACAATACAAACATTTTAATAACATATCAGATGTATTTAGTTGTTTGACACTTAACCAGTTTATTTCTTTATTTTAGCATTCATTTAAATGTTATTTGCTTTCATAAAATAAATTAAATTGATAACATACTATGCTCCGGCACTAGGACAAATTCATGTGATCAAGCAGTAACCCATCATTTATCCAATTTGTTGCTTACATTATTAAATTGTCTTGTCGTTTGCATGTCCTACTGAATCAAAACCTGGCTTCATTTTATTTTGTGGTATACCACAAATAAAATGATTTGCTTACAAATCACCTCATTCATAAGTTTCATCGGCTGCATCGGTAGTTTTTGTTGAACCAAATCCTTTGGCTGTTCTGTTGAAATCCTTCCGGTCTTCCTCGTGTGTTTTGCGTTTTATCAACCCCTTTTCAAAAACCGATGCTATTTTTGCAAGCGGCTTCTCTGCTGCCTCTTTCAGCTTCCTGGCATCAAACCGAGGGCTGTACAGTAAAATGGGCAGGCGATTGACGAAAGATGGAACTGCTGCCTGTTCATCTTTGGAGGATTTTTTCTTCTCTGAGTCATCCTTGTTGACGTTCATTTGGTTCATGATTCGTTCTTTAGTAGAGAACATTTGAAAAAGAAGTGCATCCCACATCTTCAATGCCTTTGGACCGTCCTGGTTCTTAACCTCCTGATTTGTATGTTGGACTACAGCCACTTCATTAGGAACTTTAACTGTAATTTCTTCACCACCATTGGAATTTCCCAGAGGCTTGGCTTCTGGCTCTGGAAATTTAGGCACGTCTGGTTCAACAACCATGTGTTTTTTTAGCCGTGTCCACCCACTGAGCTTACCCTTTAGACCTTTTGGCTTTTGTGTTGCTTTAGCCTCAGTGGATGTAGACAATGTTCCCTCTGCGACAGACTTTTTGTCAGTAACTGAAGATGCAGTTGATGTCGCTGACTTCGTGAAGGGCTCGACTGCTGGAACTTCTATTGATGCCACTTTGCCTTTGGCCTTCAGAAGGTCCTTGATTTTGAGGCCAGTTTTTTGCTGAGATGGCGGTGATGTTCCTCTGTTTGGTGGAGCTTTTACTGAGCCTGCAGCCTGAGGCAGAGAGGTAGGAGTGGTAGAATCAATCACAGCATCTTTAACTATGGATGGTTTTATGACAGTATCTTTTGATGGCTTTGCAAGGCAAGTGTTTTCTAGCAGCTGCTCTGTTAAAGACTGAATATTAGTCATGTGTGAGTTAACCTGGATCGGGTTGATGGGAGACTTTGAGGACTCCGTATGTGCAACTAAAAGATTCATATCTGTGATTGTAGAGGACGGTGTTGGTTCTACTTGCTGAGTAGAAGAAATTGCTTTTAGACTTGTAGAACTGTTGAAAACTGGTTCGCTACTTTGGTTGGGCATGCTACATGTAGGGTTTAGTGAGGAGAGATTTCCTTGTGTATGTGAGTCTGAAGAATGATTTGTTTTTTTACATGGCATTGGGGAATGTACTTTCACCTCAGGGACTAAAGTGTCTTTTGCTGCCATTTTTATTCCCTGCTTTGAGATGTTTTTCATGATGGACTGTTGAGCATTACTAGCTCGTGTGTCATTTTCAAAAGGTGAAACTGGTGATATTTTCTGTTCTTTTACATTAACTGATGAGGTTTTTGTTTCTGTCAACTGGGTAAAAGAAACAGGAGTTTGGCACGTTTGTGGTAAGGAGGGCATACATGTTTGTTTTGGTATATAACACACCTGCGGCTCATGTAGAGGGGAAGCTCTTATTGCAGCCCATGCTTTGGTTGCAGTTGGACTATGCGGGACTTTGGTGGGTTCATTAAGAGGCTGGGTGTTTTTACAACGGGGTTCATTTGCAGGAACTTGTGAGAAGGACGGCAGGTTTACACCATGGTTGTTAATTTCAGAAAACGTAGGAGATCTATTAACAGAACTAAACTGTTTTGTTAAAGTCTGAGAGTTTACTAAATCCACACATGTGAGAACATTAATTTCAGGTGAAGGGGTCACACCTTTCTTTATTATCTGTTGGGTTTCCTGTTTAATACTGTTAACCAAAATCTCAGGATGACCTGCAGAGTTGGAAGCCTGTGTTTCCACTGTGGATGGTAAAACTTTTGGAACTTTTGGACATGGACTTACTAACAAATTACGATCCGTATTTGACTGAATGACAGAAAATGTCTCTTTTTCAGTAGTTTTTCTAGTAATTTGTTGACTGGGTGTCTCAGATGAACTGTTTGTATAAGGAAGGTTTACAGCCAATTTATCCCCAACAGGGCCATTAACTGTTTCACTTATGGACAACTTTGCTGCAGATTGACTTTTTAAGTTCTCATATGTGATCTGAGGACTTTTTGGTGGTATGCGTCTCAATGTTGGACTGAAGGGGACTTTAGGTCCACTGCTCTTTGGAGTATTACATGATGGTTTATTGTTCATGGCTGGTTCTGTTGTTACCGGTAAAAAGGCTTCCATGTGAAGTTTATTTGGAACTTTGGATTGACTGGTTGGAATATCTTCCAAATGGATGTTGTTTGGTTGTGCTGTGAAATGATGAGTAGTCTCTGCAGCTCCAACTTGAGAAAATAAAACAGAATTGTTGGACACCCTTAGTTGGTTTGTAGACAACTCGTTGAACATGTTAAATTCATTGCTTGGGATACTTGAGTTTTCTTTTGTAAGATTAGCAGCTGGTTTTGTTTGAAGGTTTTCTGCTCTGACGTGGGAAGAGGAGATAAATGGATGCACTTGAGTATTAAGATTGTTTTCTTCTACTTGTGTTGCTGCTTTTGTGCATGTGTATGGGTTTGCAACTACATTTTCTATTTCCACAACTTTAGTTGGGCCTTTCCAGCCTAGATTAGCTTGTGGTTTTATGGGTGCATTTCTCAGAGTGTCGTTTAGCTTTTCGTTCTTTGTTATTAACAGATGCAACAAGTTTGTTTCTGAAGGAAAATTATTGTTTGAAAACTCTGCGAACTTGATCGCAGTAACAGGTAAGACATGCGCTTTGGTTTCTATGGTTGCTGTATTTGGTAAAATCATGTTTACAGCAGGTGCATTTGATGTATTTGATGGAAGCAAATGGGAATTGCTCTCTTGTGATTGGATATTTCTGCAAACTTGAGTTACTGTGTTCTGTTTAGTCATTTTCCCACCTACCTTAGGGGAAGGTGCTGTGCAAACATGGTGCTGCCCTGAGCAAAGAGATGCTGTAACAGGTTCATGAAGCAAAGTTGTACTATTTTTTAGCACTTTTGCTAAATTTTCTGAAAACTGTATCTCATTGATACTGTTGTTAGGAGTGTTTTTTGTACTAACAGTCACAGATAATAGAGTATTCCCCACATTTGACTTATTTGGTAAAATACTATCGCTAGCTTCAGTTTTGTGAATTACTTCTTGCTTTTGATTATCTAAAATATCTTCACTTGCTGCTCTGCTAGAGAGGGGGTTGTCTAAAATGAGTTTGGTTGACTGTTTTCCCAAGAAGGCTACATTTTCTGCAACTTGCGTTTCTGAGAATTTATGTCTTGTCTGTGTTGGTGAAGAAAAAACAGACATGTTTTCAGAGTCTGCCACCATTTTTTCTATTCTTGCAATAGATTGAACATTGGCACAATGGGATGTTGGTTCACTCTCTTTCATGGCAACTATTCTTAAATTTCCTGACAGTTCTTTTTTATTTGAAATGATGCATTCCCCAGTGTGATCTAGATTAGACACTAAAGGGCTTTTGTCAAGATTAGAGACTTTTTGAACAGCATCACCACTTGTTGCTTTAAGTTGTGTTTCTATATTAAAGTCTTTCACAAAGAATGAGGAAGAGTTGGTTGAATGATTGCTATCAGTTAGACATGGGGCTGTTCTTAGCTCTGCCTCAGTAAAAATGTGTGCCAGATTTTTTGTGTGTACCTCACCTGCTTTATGTATTGGTACTGAAGCCTCTGAGCATGAAGCTTTTGGTGTGGATACATCACTTGTGGATTGTTGTATTATTTTCTGTGTCAATCCAAAGGAAAGCTTGGATTGGATTGTTTCCACATTAGCTGTGTTAATAGACTGAATTCCAATACTCTCAGCTCCAGATCGGCTTTCCTCAAATACATCACTGGTATGTGTGAAAATCTGTTCGTCTGGAATCTCTGGATGAGACGATCGCTTATTGTGAACCACAGGAGGTAGGTCCTCAGGTCCATTGATCTGATTGTCACACTTTGAGACGTCTGATCCATCTACAAATTTGCCTGAGTGGGTTTTGTCTGAGGTTTCATCAGTCTTGGGATGTGCAGAGAGCTGATGTGACACACTGGTCCTAATTCCACCATATGCAGCATACTCAGTTGGAGTAAGTCCATAATACACAGAACGGGATTTGGGTTTGGAACATACTAATGACATTTGGGTCTCCAGTAGGGATGTCAAAGACTTTCGTGCCTCAACTACCGGAGGATGATAGGTGGACAACACTGGGCTTGGACTTAGGGATGCTTGCATTGAAACTATTTGTGTGGGGTACAGAATCTGTGGTGCAGAAAGAAACGATGGAACTTTTGGCAAAGATGAAGGTATAGTTTTTGAAACATGGTTTGTTTTGGGGTTGTCTAAGTCTGCAAGCAATGGTCTGACTAAAAAATTGTCTGACATAGTTGTGTTTTCCTTGTGATTCAGCTCAGCAGTGCCAAGATTTAGATTTATTGGACTCTTTCCTGTGTTAGGAATCTCCATCTCTTTACAAACTGGCTTGATGGCCGACATGCTATTAAAATTAGTTTGCATTTGTTCATCTGTCACAGTTGGAGGCTTACTTATAGAGTGTGTTTGAACTGCTGAGGTGGATTCCAGAGCCTCTTTCGGAACAATGGGCGCTTGTAAATCTCGGGAGGGGTTGAAAGCAGGACTTGCCATGGATAAATGTGGGTTTGGGTTTGTTATTTCAAAGATAGGTATTGATATTTGAGTTGGTGTGTAGGAAAGATTTTGGGATCTTGCACTTTGTGTCCTAGGTGATGACAGCTTCTGATCAATGTTCACCACTGACCCTGCTGTTTTCTCACAATATGTTGCAGGTAAGAAAGCTGGGTTTGTAACTGTGAAGTCCTGCATGGAGGGAGGTTTGGAGATCTCATGAAATGTTGCTTTTGATGTATATATCTTGGCTTGCATGGCTTCAACTCTTGACTTCTTCACTCCATCAACAAGTGATATTTTTGAGGCGGTTATTTCAGATGGCATTTGTTGAAGAACACTGCTGTCATTGCTGTTGACTGTGGCAGTTTTTGTTGAGTTATCCTTTAAATCAGCATTTGTCTCCCTCTGGCTGGGAATGAAATGCTGTGTGTAAGTGTTTGAAATCGATAGCGGAACTGGAACAGGAGACAGAGCTGAAACTTGAGTAGGTGCCAGGCATGGACCAGAGTTGGGGGCAGCAGGGGATAGGATCAGACTTTGCATTGATATTTTTGGGCTGGATTGCGATGCAGCGAATGGAGAAACCGTTGTGACTGACCTATTTGATTTGGAACTCATGTTGCACTTGAAAGCAGAGGGAGGGCATAGTGAGGGGATCTGATCTGGTGGCCATACAGTTTGTGATGTTAAAGGGGGCATCATGAAAGGGGCCGCATCGTCAAATAAGAAAGAGGAACACTCAAACAGCGGAGCCACCTGCTCCTGGGAACTCCTGATGTCAGCTGATTGGGGCAGAGGGTCAAAGCTGCCAGTTTGTCCATGAACGCTGTTCTGATGTTGAGGAAATGCAGATGCAGTGTGGTTGTAGTATGGGCCAGAAGGGAAACATGATATGGATGAGTCTGCAATCAAAACTGAATCTGGTGACCTCGGTGGGCTACACTGGTCACTGTGCTCAAGGTCTGTGCTCGCTTCGTTGACAGGTGACAAACAGGAGCGGAAGGGAATGGGCGTCTGAGAAAGGCTGCCTTTTTTCTTTCCTCTCTTCTTCTTGAGTTTTTGAAGCCTTGCGTTGTCTTTGCCTGGTTTTGGCAGTAAGGGTGGAGGATACTGCTGGGAAAGGTCAGGCTCCAAACCATTAGTGTAACACACCTCCATCAGCATGCTTAACTCCTGCAAGACAGAAAACACATCAGCTGAACTACATCAACCAAACATGTGAAGAAAAACATGACAAATGAAGCTTATTGTGTGAATGTTTATAAAACACTCACTAATGAGATCCATTTTTATTCTGTATGTTTTTTGGCATGCAACTCTTTTTTTGCATTGTTTGTTTGCTTGTTTTTGAGCAATTTCAACAATTCATACATCGAAACGTTCAGCTCATCCAGGACAGGCATGCTATGACTTTTGGTATTTGTGCAAATTTTACTTTTTGAAACATTTAGCTTTGTTGGCCATGTTTTTCTTATTGAAAATGAATAGATCTCTCCACATCCTTCAGACTCTTTGTGCTGTTTAAAACCTTTTACTGCTCATTTCAGTTTTTTATTGGGTCAACGTTTTTCAGCATCTTTCTGCTAAATTCAGCTTTATTCTGCTTTTCCAACAACTTCATAGGTGTTGTTCTGCTAATAGTTTTTAGCATTTTTCCTGTTGTCTTTTGTGCTAATTTTCACCTTCTCTGTTTCTTTTTTAAATTTTCACATTTTTATGCTTTTTCAGCTGCTTTCTTTGCTAATTTCAGCTTTTTTCTGTTCATTTCAGTTATTTTTTCCTAATTTGTATTGTAGTCGGGCAGCACGGTGGCGCAACTGGTAGAGCTGCTGCCTCTCAGCGGCCAGGTCCTTGGTTCAAACCCCGGTCCAGGGGCCTTTCTGGGTGGAGTTTGCATGTTCTCTCCGTGCATGCGTGGGTTTTCTCCGGGTACTCCGGTTTCCTCCCACAGACCAAAAACATGCATGTTAGGCTGATTGGTAACTAAATTGTCCCTAGGTGTGAGTGAGAGAGTGAATGGTTGTTTGTCTCGTTTGTCTCTATGTGTCCCTGTGATGGACTTGCGACCCGTCCAGGGTGTACCCCGCCCCTCGCACAGTGATTGCTGGACATGGGCACCAGCGACCCCCGTGACCCAAACTGGAATAAGCGGGTAAAGATAATGGATGGATGGATGGATGGATGGATTGTAGTCAATCTATTTACCTATTTCAGATATTCTGCCTGTTTCTGCTACACTTCTGCTCTATTCAACTTTTTCTACACATTTCGGCTGTTCTTTTGCTGCTTTCTGCTTTTATTTTCCAGCTTTTAACAAATGCTGCTCAAATTTAACTTGTATTAACAGTTCAGCATTAAAACCTTTTCAGCTGCTTTCTGCAATAGCCATTCACATTTCTCTAGTTTTATGTATGTTATTAATCTAAATGAGAGATTTCTCAAAATTATTTATGTTTAGATGCTTAATAAAATAAAAGCTTTTGAATTATTTTGACTTTTCTGTAACCCTTTAGCTGCGTGACAGCTTCCTAAAATAGATTTGGGAAAAGATTGATTATAATTTAGTTAAAATTATGATGAAAAATGTTTCCTTTAAAATTTCTGGATTTGTAGCTTAGCAGCTCTGTCACTAAGTAGATTAAAATGTTTTTTTTTTCACAACAAGATTAATTGCACTTTTCAAGCATATAAACTGAAATGCTTCTCAAATGCAAAGTTTTATTCAAATCATTTGTCTGGTAGATGTAAAATTTATGTAAATTTGTTTTTTGTGTGTTTTCTTATTACAGCTGGACGGTGCTGTGAAGATTTGTGAAACACGTTTGGAATATTGGAATAATAACCACTTTGATGTCATTGTTTTTATGTTTTTTTAGATTTAAGCTGGAAATGTAGCTATATCCTTTTTTACACTTTTGAAACCAAGAAAAGAACATTACATTTACATTTTAACTCGACTTTATGTTGTCTCAAAGAACTCAAATGTATCTTTGACTGCAAATTTATTTAATAAAAGTGATTATCCATGGTTGATTCTTTTGCTGCTCATTTTTTAATGAATTTCTTCATTTCCTGTTGTAATTTTTCATCTTGTAAGGTGTCCATCTTGTGCAGCGCTCCCTCTTTAGAGGATTCAGCTGCTGCCGACTTTCCTTTTATAACCCCTGCCAATGGCTTTCAGACATGGTAGCCTCAAAAGACTCCAGGCTCCGCTACCAAAAACCCCATTAGCAGGTTCCAGAAATCCTAACTGGGTCCTGAAGGTGCTGGAAGGGCTATTTGTAATGGAAAGATGTGTCAAGCTGTTTCATTTAGAAGGTCTACTTTTAAATGATGACAAACTGCTCGTTAAAATAGTCTTCCAAGAAAAAGTCCAATTTAAAAATGACCTCTGTAGGAAACACAAGTGAACCCGATGGAAGACCTAGCTCAGACGGGGGGTGGGGGTTGGGGGGTTAGAGGGTTTATGTATCGAGGGGAACTTTAGTGTCTATGTAACGTCTAGATTTTAAGAGTTGTAAAACCAGAAAGTGAACTAAATTTAGAAGCTCCTGAAAACAAGGAGGCGTTAAAAAAAAGTACTCAGCAGACATGAAATATGTCAACATATCTAGGATTATATACAAATATATAAATGAAACAAAAACTTAATGTTCAACTGTTTTACCACGAACAAGTATTTTAAATGTGAATCACTTTGATTCTACTGTTATTTATTTATTGCATCTAAAAAAACAACAGCCAGCTATTTCCTTTCACACTGAAATCAAAGAAGACACTTGAGAGTAACTGACATTATGTTGGTTTGCACCAATAACCCACATGCAAATGACGGTGTAGTTTTGACTGTAATTTGTTGATAACATTTTCTGGATGGTGTAGTCAAGGCTTCTGAGTAGCCTTGAAAAGACCCACAATCTAATTTTAGAGCAGGGGAATGAGAGGAAACATCATGGAAGCACCTGCTGCCTGCTGTCCTGGACTCAACGAGACGTCCTCAGTTTTCCTGTAATCAATCCTCTCCGAGCTGATCTGTCTGTGAGCGGAGCTGCGTGTTTCTAAGTGAGAAGCTCTGACCAGCTCTAGTTATGTCACACTTCACGCTTCATAACTGGAGAGTTAAACCTGCAGGTTTGATCAGATAAACATACAGAAATCACAGCAAAGACCAAAAAAACTGACTTGAAATAGTTTTTGTTGCTTTGAACTTTAACGGAGATGTTTGGCAGCTTCTGGACGAATGTTGTCAAAGTGACTCCTGTCGTCACTGGGACAAGAAGTAGAGCTGTAACATGAGCGGTCCCCATTTAAGGCTCTGGGGTTAGACATCTGGGAGGTTTTCACTTCAGCAGCTCCATAGAGTAAAGTGTAAGATTAATTTGGGGATAAAAGTAGGCCGCGGTCTTCATACGTCTAGCTTTAATGCAGATAATTAAATAAAAATGAAGTTTTCATCAAGAGGCTGCCACATAATGAATCTGAAACACTTACCTGAAATGGAAATTTGTGTTGTTCATGTTCTGCCTGATGGGCTGTAAACATAAAAGTCAGACGTAAGAAAGGTGCACAACTAATTTTTAAGGTTTAAAAAATATTAAACCTAATTATTGTGGAGTATAAATTGGATTAATATTTATTTAAAGACTAGTATATTTATCATGGCTCAAAAATGTTAAGCATTTTATTGCAAGCCTTTTCTTCTGAGGCTGCACTGCAGTGTCTCATTTGCATCATGCGCTTAAGCTTGCAAAGCGTGCACGTGCTGTTATCAAACCCTGCGTCATGTTTGCAGGTCAACGCCTGTCCAAAGTGTCAGGATCTCACGTCAGAACCACCACCTTGCCAATCAAGCAAACATTTAATTTGAGTGGATTACCTTGGGCTGACAGGAGAACCTGCTCTCTGCTCGTTAATCCCAGCTCAGAGTGCCACAGGGCCGTCTCACCCTCAAGTGAACTAGAGTCTTAGGAAGCAAGCTGCAGTGCCTGCAGCCACTCCAAAAATAAAACGATTGCCTTCAGTGTTTGTTGCAGGGGCAGATGGGGGGTATCCAGGCCACCTGAGATGGCTGAGGTGCAGCCCCTACAGGCGGACCACAGCCGCTTCTACCTGAAGAAATGGGGTTGTTTCTGGTTATGGTGTCTCGGGCAGTCAAGATTGGCAAAAAATAAATAAATAAATAGAGGAAAGCATATATTTAAGCAATATGAAAACTAGAAAGCATAGTTTCCTTAAATATTAGCGTGAGTTGGGTGCAAATACAAATATATGGTGGCAGCCACCTTGTGTTTTGATTTAGCTTTCAATTTTTGACTTTTACAGTGACTTTTGTCATGCCTTGATGCACAACAATGAAAGTAAACACATTGCTTATTTTTTTTATTTTTATATAAATATAAGACAGGAAACACAGTGGTACAGTTGGTAGAGCTGCCGTCTCTTGGCAAGCAGGTCACCCCATTTCAAATCCTGATCAGGAGGCCTTTCTGGGTGGAGTTTGCATGTTCTCTCCGTGCATGTGTGGATTTTCCCCGGGTACTCTTGTTTCCTCCCACAGACCAAAAACATGCATGTTAGACTGATTGGTAACTCTAACTTGTTCCTAGGTGTGAGTGAGAGAGTGAATGGTTGTTTGTCTCGTTTGTCTCTATGCGTCCCTGTGATGGACTGGAGACCTGTCCAGGGTGTCCCCCGCCTCTTGCACAGTGATGGCTGGACATCGGCACCAGTGATGCCCGTGACCCGAAAAGGAAGAAGTGGGTAAAAGATAATGAATGGATGGATCGATACATATACGACGGCAGCCATCTCAGATTTTGACGTGCAACCCAGTTTTCAAAATGAATCTTTTTTACTCCTAGATGTATCTACGCAAACTTGTACCTCCCTTTTGTCTCTAAGTTATGCTCACAAAATGCTGAGTGTTTCCAATGCCTTCTCTTTGCGCTGCAACAAGGGACAAAAACATGCATATTGTCTACTGAATCAGAACCAGAATCAGAATAAGCTTTATTGTCATTGCACAGTGAAGTACAGCAAAATTATATTCCGTACAGTCGTCCAAAAGATGGGCGGAGTGTACATGGCTGCAGCTCCTAGGAGCGCGGCCTTAATTCTTTAAATAGGAAAAGGGGAAAGACCATGAGGATAGTGAGTATTAAAAAAAGATCTCTTCACACCTTGTCCTTGTCAGGACACGGTTTAAGACATCAAAAAAATCTACCAGCAAGCACATTTATAGACACATTACATATGCGTTTGGCAACAAGATGGTGAGATTTTGTCCATGAAACACTTCCAGATAGCACCATAGTCCTGATAAGATGTTATAGTGTCAGCTGGTCAGCTCTGATAAGCGGTCACAGAAGTTCTTGGGGGTTGGTGGTGGTGGGGGTGATAGAGCAGAGCTTTCTTGGTTTACACTTTCCCCAATTTGATAAGTTGGCCTATTCAAGGCCGAAAGGGGAGGCCAGAGTCAGATAAGCCACAGTTGTTCTTGTGCAGGCAAGACTGTTTGTCTTTCGTCAGCCTTGAGTTCTGCTGGTACTCTCAGTGAACCAAAAGGACCAGATTTGTGGGTTTCCACTGGTCTTTGCTTATTAGGCTTCTCCAAGATTGATTCCAACATTCTGGAGAGTTCCAGAAGTTGCAAGTGGCCTACGATTTTCATAAACTGCTTCCAGCTTATGGATTAGCTTGCAAATCAGCTGAATCTGAGAGCTCAAAGCACAAATGAATCCTTCAAATAAGGTAGGCAGCTTTGCCATGGCCAAAACTGCTGCTGACGTCTTCATGAATAGACAATAACATAGGTATCTGACGGTGCCAAAAAGCAGAAACCCTGCTATCATAAATCCAATGATGTATACATCTTCCACATCCTCCAGAGACAACACAGACAGGCACATCAGCTTCCACTGCCTCCACAAATCCATGACATAAGCAGCCACGTGCATCTGTCCAGGGCATGAGGGTTCTCCAGCACCCTGTTGTTTGGTTGAAAATATTTTTATCAATTGCGCTGAAAGTTCAGCTGACCAAATCCATAACAGTAATTTACGGTTTGGAAGATGTGTAAATAGAAGCTGTGATACACAAACAAAGAGCAAAAGCAGGAGGATGGCAGGAGAGGGAAGAAAAGGCATCCGTCTTGCTCGAGGACGAGTGAGGGAAAAAAATTCAGGAGGCGGGGTAGGTGTGTTGTTCCGTCTAAAGTCCACGGCCATCTCTTTCATCTTCTTCACATTGATGTGAAGGTTGTTCTTCCTGCACTAGCTCTCCAGGTATTTCACCTCCTGCCTCTAGTTGGACTCGTTCTTGTTTGTGATCCATCCAATCACCGCTATATCTATCTATCTATCTATCTATCTATCTATCTATCTATCTATCTATCTATCTATCTATCTATCTATCTATCTATCTATCTATCTATCTATCTATCTATCTATCTATCTATCTATCTATCTATCTATCTATCTATCTATCTATCTATCTATCTATCTATCTATCTATCTATCT